GGTGTTTAAACATATATATTTGTTTTTAAAATAATTTTTAGAGATAAATTTGAGCTAATGGAAAGGCATTTTTTGCCACCTCAGCTTCCCAAGTGTGCCTAGAGCAGAGCAGGGATAATCCTGATTAAACCCAGCCCTGGGTAAGAGCCAGGGAAAGCTGTGGAGCTCATTCTGCTCCTGTGGAAACCCCCCCAGTGTTTTGGGCTTTGCCTCTGGAATCTTTTGCTCCAGAGGGGGATGGTCCTCATGGGCTGTTCCTGTGGGAATGCTGCAGATTGAATCCATTGCTCTAAAAGCCTTCCTTTTTAATTAAGGAATGATCATTTTTCATTAAGGAATGAGCTGCAACCTCTGCTGCAGCTGCTTCTGCTGCCTCTCTGAAGGTGGAGAGAATTCCAGGGAAAACAGCATCAGCTGCAAATCCTCTGTTTCCAAAATTCCGCCAAAAATCCATGTTCCAACCTAGGCAGGCTTGCAGAATTCCTCCTCAAGCTTATACAGGAAATTTTTTATTTTTTATTATTAACCCCCACTGTGAAGTGACGGAGGCATTTGCAGGGTCTTGGCTGCCCTGTGGATTTAATCCTGGAAGTGGGTGTGAAAGGGAATCTGGTGATTCCCAGGAAAGCCTCCAAATACCCATCCAGTGAGATTTAACCATGCACTAGGAAGAAGGAAAAAAAGAGATTTATTCAGTCATATCAGGGCTGTGTTGTCCTGAGCAGTGTGCATGGAAGGAGAGCCCATCTGCAAGAGGGGATATCCCAAAATAACAAGGAAAATTCAGTGTTTACACAGTGCTGGAGACTTGAATGCTCCTGCCTGTGAGTGCTGAGCTGGCCGGGAGGAGCTGCCAAGTGACAGCAGAGCTTCTGCAGGACGGAGCTGCAGCAGAAAAGGGACCTTAAAAAACCTGCATTGGCAGAGGAGAGTGTTTGGGAGCAGCCAAGTGCTGGGATAAATGGGATTGTTGGATTATTCCCTTTTCTGACCCGGAGATGGGGCAGCTGAGAGGTGTTTTAAAACTTCTGTTCCATTTTCAGTCTCATGTGGAGGGTGAGACAATACAGATGTTGTAATTTACATCATCACAATCAGAAGCTAATTATTTCCTAATTACAGTACACTCTAAGTGTTTCTTGGCCTATCAGCTTTTGCTACACCATGATATAAACGCCTTAAAGCCAATAATCTAAAATTACCCTCATAAATCCTTCTACAATACACCTTTCATAATTCTATTTCTCCAAAATACCTAATCTTATTTACAAAACCACCCTTTAAAACTTATTTCTAGTTCCATTTCAATGCACCTTTCATAATTCTATTTCTCCAAAATACTTACTCTTATTTACAAAACCACCCTTTAAAACTTATTTCCAGTTCCATTTCTCAGCAATGTCTATCCTATTCCTTAGCATCTCTAAATCAACATTTCTTATCTCAAAGTTTACATGCAAATATATATTATGTGAGTGTTCTACATTAAAAACTTTAAATTTTTTCTACAAATCCATTTCCCACATGGGATAAATGGGCTGCCAGGAATGGCTGCCTGGATTTTCTTTGCCCTTCACCCAGATTCAGCCTTGCTGCTGGAATTCTGATTGTGTTTGAGGGTCTGTGTGAGACAGACAGCTCAGAATTAAAGCACACCCTGTGTGCATCTCAGTTCGGATTTATTGCTGCTACATCCTCTGTGCATCTCAATTCAGGCTTGTTGCTGCTTGGATTCTAGATTTCGGGGGATTTATTGGTGGCTGTGGGAATTGAAATCTGCAGTTGTAATTCCTGCTGGACAGGCTGGCGGGATGTGACTGCGTGGATTGAAAGCTGAGGATGTTTCAGGTTTAAAACACCTCACAGAGCAGCCCTTCCCTCCTCCTCTGGCTGTTCTGTCCTCACAGAGGTCTCTGCAGGCATTTGTGTGATTTCAGATGCCTCTCACACTCCCAGCACTGTCTGAATGGCTTTCCAAGGGGAGCAGCCCCGTGGGTTTTGCTGTACGAAACATCCTGGACATCCCTCGTGCACGTTCCTGCCTCTTGGCACAGCTCTGGGAGGCAAATGAAACACCAGGATCTGCCTGGAGGGGAAAAAACTAAAAATCACAGCTGGGTTTGCCAGCCCTGCCAGGCTCCAGGGGTTTGGGTTCAGGCTGCAGGGGAAGGTGGGGGTTTATTTTGGAGGCCGGGAAGGAAGCGCTGTGCTTCCCTTTCCGAGGGTGTTGCTGCTGGGGTTGGGCTCCTGGAGCTCAGTCCCAGCTGCCCCATCCCTGCTGCCTTCACCTGGGGCTCCTTGGCTGGGAGGGTGGCAGTGATTTCTGGTCACCCTTGCACGTGTGCAGCTCATTAATGGAGTCCTGGAAGGGTTTGGTGTGGGTGAGAGCTCAGAGCCCACCCAGTTCCACCCTCATGTGCAGGGACACCTTCCACCATCCCAGGCTGCTCCAAGCCCTGTCCAGCCTGGCCTGGGACACTTCCAGGGATCCAGGGGCAGCCACAGCTTCTGTGGGCACCCTGTGCCAGGGCCTCAGGGAACAATTCCTTCCCAATATTCCATCCAACCCTGCCCTCTGGCAGCGGGAAGCCATTCCCTGTGTCCTGTCCCTCCATCCCCTGTAAATAATCTCTCTCCATCTTTCTTGTGGCTTCCTCAGGTGCTGGAAGGCCACAGTTAGATCAACTCACAGCTGCTTTTCTCCATGCTGAGCAATCCCAGCTTTTCCTCACACAGAACTGCTCCATCCCCCTGCTCATCCTGCTCTGGGCTCCCTCCAGCAGCTCTGTGTCCATCACATTCAGCAGCCCAGAGGAGCTGCTGGATCCAGAAACACCTCTGAGATCTGCAACCTGGAGTAAATTTCTACATTCCAGGTCTGGGATCTCTAAGGTGACTTTGCAGTGCTTGGAGACTTACCTGAGCTCAGATAAATTAATGATAAATTGATAATAGTTGATAATATGAATAAACTGGTGAATATGATGGGTAGATAAAGATGAAGTAGCCAGCGCCTGATGGGAGTAGATGGAAAAGCTTGAGCTGAAATATTCAGCCTTGCTGTGCAGCTGTAACCCCAACAAATCAGTAACTCATGAATTGAGATTCTGGTGAAGGTTTATAAACCTTTGATCAGGTTTAACCAGGCTCTGCCATTCCCTGGCCTGCAGGGATTGCTCCAAGCAGTCCTGGATCCCTTGCAGAGCTCCCAAGGCTCTGGTCAGTGTGTAAAACTCGGCTCCATAAAGCAGCTGCTAAACATTTGCCAGCCTCTTTTATATCTAACTACCCCCTGGGACAGGCACTGACCTTCCCCTTCCTGCTAGAACCAACATCTCCCTGTTAATTGAAAGTGTTAATTACTCTCAGGCCCAGAGTGTTGTTTTTGTGCCGCGGCCTGAATGGTTAATCAGCAGTGTAAACCCAAATCCCCTTCTGTTAGGCATAAATGTTACTGATTCCAAATGCCTTTGGTTTTCGCCTCCCCCTGATTTTTAGTGCCAACTCGTTCAGCTTTCAGTAGGGCAGAAGTTGGACTCCATTACCAGAGTCCATTGTAATGATTTCTTGGATTTTTTTCTGGGTAGACAAGGCTTGTGCAAGTTTGCATGCTTTTCTATATTTGGTTTTGTTTAATTTGATTGTACAAAGCTGTTGAAAAGCCCAGCTGAATGTTTCCACTTTCTGCAGAGCTGATTGTGCCATCAAGCCAGGAGTTCAGAGGGAAAATCCAGCTCCTGCTGGGTTTTCTCAGTAATCCCAAGCTCCAGATCCTGGTTTGAGATAGGGACAGACAAAAGTTCATTTGTCACCTTGTTCTCATCTCAGCTTAATTCAGATGTGGCACGTGGGGACAACCTTCACTCTCACAGGATCATGGAATATCCTGGGCTGGGAGGAACCACGAGGATCATCCAGCCCAGCTCCTGTACAGGACACCAGGAACCCCAGCATGGTGCTGGTGCTGGATTGTGTTCCTTCAGTCCCTTTGGCATTGTGTCTGCTGGGACTTCACCTAATCCTGGAAATCCTCCAATCCTCTGGAACTGCTCCTGCCTTTCTGGCTGGTGCCCTGTGGTGTTGATGGATGGAGACAGGAGCTGTTGGAATAAATGTCAGCTGGTGGTTTTAATTTGGGTTAAACTGGTGTTTCATGGTGGAAATCCAGGATCACAGGGAGATCTGGAGCTGAAAACTGAATTATTCTGTTACTAAATATATTGTCAAATTGCATATAATTCCATTCTCTTTTCTGTGTGGTGGAAGGACATGGCACTATTATTGGTTGTCAGAGTGGAAAATGCTCTGCAGGAATGGCAGGGCTAGTGAAAAATATCCCAGGTGTTAGGGAAAATACTGCACAGGGTTTATCTCTTGGAGTTATCACCATACTTTGCTTCCCCAAATGCTTCCCAACCTGAAGGTGACCTCCAGGGATCCCATGGTTACATCCCTGCTGGAAGGAGATGTGGCTGTTGAGTTTCCTTGGTCATTTGTGAGGCAATTTTTCGTTTCAGTAGGGAATTTTTAGGGTTTTTTGTAGAAACTGAAGGTCCTGTTGAATTCTCCTTGCAGAACTCCTCCTGCTTCTGTTTTCCATGTGTGCCAAGGTGGTTGGGCTCACTTTGGGATAGGGAAAACCCCAAGAATTGGTAGTTAACCCCAAAAACTGTGCAAAATCCCTGCTGGAAGAAGTGTTGGGTCACTCATGACCCCTTGGCTTCATGTTCCTGGTGGGATCACTGCCAGGCTGGTGATCCACACACACGCTGAGTCTCATCTTCATTTTATCCTTTGATTCCTCCCTGCTTTTATATCCCATCAAAACACTATTGAATACAAGCAGTTCCTTGTATCCAGAAAGGGCTGTTGGGAGTTTTTTGGATCCATAGTTCCTTCTCAGGAAAGGAGAAAAAAAAACCCCAAAAACTTTAAAAACTCCTTTTGTCCTCGTTCTGGTGCCGCTTTTAACTGGAGGAAAAATGGCTTCTTTGTTGCAGATGTCAAGAAGGACTGGTCTGATCACGCTCTGTGGTGGGAAAAGAAGAAAACTTGGCTCCTTAAAACTCACTGGACGTTGGATAAATACGGGATCCAGGCGGATGCCAAGCTCCAGTTCACCCCTCAGCACAAACTGCTGCGCCTGCAGCTGCCCAACATGAAGTACGTCAAGGTCAAAGTCAACTTCTCTGACAGGGTCTTCAAGGCTGTTTCTGACATCTGCAAAACCTTCAGTAAGTGTTGAAAAACCTCCCCCCTCTTGGGCATTTTTCTGGTTGGTTTGGCTCCTGCCTTTGCTCTGGTGCTTGTCCTGTAAATTTGGTAAATTTTTGGTGTTTTCTGGGTTTGGGCACTCAGGAGTTGTTTGGACATCAAACAGCCCAGGTGTTGTCTATTTTTCCCTTCTAGATCTACTCTTTTATGTGTAAATACTTCAATAACAGGACCAATTGAGCCAAAAAGTGATTAAAAAATGCAATTTTTTGTGCTGAATTCTCTTCCACAGCAGAGATGTCCTCGGGTTTGTCATAGGTGAGGTGGTACCAGCCCTGCTTGATATTCAGACTGGTTGTGATGGGTTCCCCCCCACCCCTGCAAATTTATGTGCTGGATGAAAAGCAAACCCTGAAATGGGAAATCTGCCAGTCCTGTGGGTTGTCTTCTAGTGGGAAATCATATTAGAGATGAAGTGGTGATGCTCCACTGTAAAAGTGTCTGGTGGAGGGAAGGAACTGAGTCTTGCTGTCTCCCCTTCACCCTCATTTCCTGGTGGAGGAGAAGCCCATGAGAAAGAAGGGATCATTCCCTACCAGGTATCATTTTTTTACCCATCTCCACAAATTCCTCATCCCAAAACCCAGTGTTTCTTCTTGCCCACCAACAAAAAACCCAGTGAGGAGATGGCAACTCCAGGAAGCTCTCCATACTGGAATTCTCTCCTCCCAAAAGGGCTGCAACCCATCCTCAGCTGTAGCAAATCTGTTCCTGCTCTCAGAAGTTACTCTTGGCTGACCCAGTTGTTTGGGGAGGCAGGAGGAGCTCATCCCTACGTGCAGTGTCCAGCACATCCGTGGTTTGGTTGGTATTTTTAGCTGGTTACAGAGCTTTGCTGTTGCTTTCCTGTTTTGTTGGGTTTTTTTTTTTTTAATATAAATATTGGGCAATTTCTCCTTAAAATAGAAAAGGCTTAGCCAGCATTGTGTCTGGGTGGATTTTGCTTCCCCCACCCCCATGTCCCACATTTGGGATGTCGTGCTAGACAGGGAGGTCCCAGGCTTGGACGCTGATGAATCTCTCCAGCAGTGACTCACGTCAGGAAATTCTGATATGGTTTATCATGAGACAGGAGATCTGTCACTGATGCTGTCAGAACTTTATGTGGGTCTCAAGCAGCTTTTTCTTCCAGCTTCAGAGCTTTTGGTGGATTTAAGACCAAACCAGCAGAATAATCCTGATATTTCAAGGTTTGGGAGCCTCTGGGATAGCAGAGGTTGGGGCTGTGAGGAGGCAGCAGGGACACATCCATCCAGGGCGGTGCTGACTTCCCTTCTGCAGCATCCGAAGTGGTGACACGAAGTTCCTGATTGTGGGGAAAGCAGGGCTTTTACTGGAAATTTCACTTTCCTTTGAGTGCCTCTCAGCAGCCTGAGCTGTCTGAGGACACACACAAACTGCAGTGATTAAGTTGTTTAGCCCTCCCAGTTGTGTTTACTGGGAGCCAGATGTTCAGCAGAGCTACTGGGAAGATGATACATGAGCTTGGCATCAGCCTGAGGGAAGAGGGGTTGGGATGTGGGGGTGCAGAAGGGCTGGAGTTGGAGGGCTTGGTATGCTCTCCCCAGAACCACAGAGGTATAAATACAGATGATGCACAAATACATTTACATTTATATTTATATTTATATTTATAATTATATTTATATTTATATTTATATTTATATTTATTTAACATATAAGTGTTAAATTGCTCCTATAGATGTTGAAATACCACTGTTTATAGATGTCATATCTAATGTGTTTTATTTATATATATAAATAATATATATTATGTTATATATGTAACATATATATTATATATAATATATAATATGTTATAGATATCTAATATATTATATGTATTAAGTGTATTTATATACGTAATACATATTTATATATTAATATAAATATATACTTATTTATATACTTATAATTTATCTATTTAATACATATATTTTATATATATAATATACTTAATACATATATGTACTAAGTATATTATATATATACTTAATACATATTTATATACTTAATATGTATATATTTTATATATATATATGTTATACATTAATATAAAACCCCATATATTATAAATATATATATATATATATATATTTCATATTAGGATCAAAATCTTGGCTCTGAGGGTGCCCAGAGCAGCTGTGGCTGCTCCTGGATCCCTGGAAGTGTTCAGAGCCAGATTGGACAGGGCTTGGAGCACCTGGGATTGTGGAAGGTGTCCCTGCCCATGGCAGGGGGCTGGAATGGGATGATCTTTAAGGTTTTTTCCAACCCAAACTATTCTGTGATTTTGTGATTCTATGGTTTTCCTTTTTCTCCTCCCCATTTGTGTTTTCCTGCCCCATTTTTCTTCATTACCTTTCCCTGCCCTCCTCAACATCCCTGCACAGAGCTCTCATATTCCATCTTAATCAAGCTAATTGTCTCTCCAAGGAGAACTGAGCAGACCTTTCAAGGTGGAAGGGAAGGTGATCCCAGCATAGTCCTTGTCTCTGAAATCCCTTGATTTCTGAGCTCCAGGGAGCTCAGGACAGAGCTGTGCCTGGGAGTTGCTCAGATTTTGGCTGTACCTGTTTGCTGTCATTGCCCCTGGACCATTTAATTACACACCTCAGTAACTCCAGCACAAAGCATCACCAGTGAGTAATTGAAGTAATTCCTGATGTTCTCAGGCCTCTGGCTGGTTACATTTATAAAATCCTCACTACACAAGCAGGAACACACATGGATGAATTATTTAAGGCTGTCCTTTGCTTCTGTTTCCTTTCAGTTGTTGCCCAGAGGTGTGACCCTTGCAGAGTGGGGTTGATTTTTAAAGAGAAGTCTCTGTTCTTGTGCAGAGGGAGGTTATTCCAAAGGGCAGCTCCCCAGGGCTCCCAGGGAAGATGCTGGAGCCACTCACACATCCCTCACTTTCCTGGAGGTCGTGTGAAGCCGGAAAAAACCCCAATCTCACTCCCAGTGCTGGATTGCAGCCCCTTGATTCCCACAGCAGCCGCTCAGGAGGGCTGAAGGCAGGGATTGACCCTGGCAGGCACGAGGAGAGGAGCAGGCAGGGCATGGCATGGGCAGCCCTCATCCAAAGGGTGGCCTGGAACCCTGCCCAGGAGCAGCTGCTGGCAGGCAGCTCCAGCCTGAAGGGCCAGCTTTGATCTGCAATTAAAGACCAGAGAAAGAGAAAGTAAAACTTCAAATTTATTTTTTTCTTTTTTTTTTTATTTTTTTCCCTGAGCAGCTGGGATTTATGCTTCCTGCCTGGCTGGCAGTGGGACAGGGGGGTTGGGATGGGGTGATCCCTGCTCTCATCATCCCACTGGGAGATAATTCCACCCAGAAAACTGCCCATCAAATATCCAACTGCAGATTGGATGGGCTGTGATGCCTTGAGAAGGCTGAGCAAGAACAGAGGCTGGATGGAG